ATAATTTACACAGAGAGCCTAGAAGCTGGAGGAACTTCTCAGTTTTCTAGCTTTTTAAACCCCCAATTTCCACCACTTTCTCCACTCAAGCTAAACTAGCAAACTGAAAAAATATTATCTTCTCTGCATCTGCACAAGAATCTATTGTTATTGAGGCTCATTCAGCACTCACCAAATTGTAGTTTCTGGCATTTAGCTACAAATTCCTGTCAGCTCAATTAACTATAAAATCCTGGTTATAACAGTGGGTTATCTAAGCATTATTTAAAAAAAATATTAATTTCAGTGGCTAATATTAGGTTCAGGTCTGTACAGGACAGTAATTTCAAAATTAATTCTATTTTTTAAGTATCTGTAATCAGGTTTTTTATCATTTTTTTAATCCACCCATTTTTAAATTTATATATACTAATAATGCAACCAACACTACAGAAATAAAGACCTGTCAAGTTGTAAAACTAAAAAAATACAGAAGTGAAAGAGTTTAAGAGACTATTTGCAAAAGATATAAAAGCCTGCATGTACTGCATTTTCAAACCAATTAGAGCCAGCAGCAGCCTAACAGAATCTGAAGGGTCAAAAGATCATCTAAGTGTTTTTAAAAAAAAAAGTGCTCAGGTTAAGGCTCAAGATGCAAAATCCACTTCTGCTGTGGTCACCAACAAGACATTTGAGAAGATCCCTATGTCAGAAAGCTTCACAGGGGACAGGCAAGGATTTTTTTTACCTTAAAGTTAAGGCCCTGACAAAAGTGGTTATAGGACAATAGCAACAAAAAAAACTCAAAACCCAACAACACCCCACACCAAACAGCAGCAATTTGCCAACTTCAGATGATATCTACCACAGAAACTCAAGGATGAAACAACTGAAGCATTAAATGTGATGCACATTGTATTGATTTATAATCCTTTAGTACCAGAGGGAGCCTGAAGACTAGATACCACTTTGTAAAAAGAAGCTAGAAGAAATATTTTGATTCAGTGATCATATTAGCCTGGTGTCTGCATGGGGGAAAGCAGCCATCACACAACCAAGCAGGATGCACTGGGAGAAGCCAAACTTTTCTGAAGTGAAGTCACAGCTCAGTCACACTGCAGGTCTTTCTGGATTTCCAAAAGCTATTCAGTAAAAGGCTCTTAAAATCCCCCTAATGTGTCTTGGGACAAATCAAAAGACCACACATGAATGATTGCTGAAAAGACACAAAACAAAGGCTGGTATGTCTCCGAGAAGAGCTCTGTGGAACTGTGTTCAAGCTTATGCTCTTCAGCATGTTTGTTAAGGGTAAATAAAAGGATGACAACATTTGTTGATGACACTAAGCAATTCAGAGTAGTGAAGACAAGCACAATCTGCAAACAAATGAAGGAGGGGCCCTGCTGGCTGAGCAGGCAGCAAAATGGCAGATAAAATTCACTGTGGATGTATGTATTTAATGCATATGGTGAAAACAACTCTATTTTTAGATAAAAATGGACTCCGAGTGGGCCATTACCATGCAGGAATGAGAATCTGGCATACTGATAGAGAGTGCTATGAAAATGCCAAATGACTGCTCTGCAACAGAGAAAAAGCCAAAACAACTGCTAGCATTGACTGGGAATAGAGCACAAGGCTGAAAACCTGATGCCAGCATTTTATCTTCTAGCATAAGAGAATCATATGACAACTTTAATGAAAGGCAACTGAACACCAAGACACTGTCTCCAGCTCAGGGAACCAGAGAAGCTATGAACTACTGAAAACTAAGCAAGTGTTCTGGGAGGCAACTGCCCTGTTTGTACTGCTCTGCCATGGGTCAGCGCTGGAGACAGGGCACTGGTGAGCAGGACCTCTGCCCTGACCCAGCCGTTTTCATCACCTCTTATCTCTTGTCTTTATTCAGAGCTTAGAAAATTACATTGCAACTCTGAATACAAAGACAACAGATAGAGACCGCTTCATTGATCCAAGCCAATGTCCACTGAAACCAGGAGATTGGAACCCACAGGAAATGGGTTTAATCCAGAGACCATTATGAGCTCCAAGGCCAGTGACACGGATCTTGTACTTCAGTGCAGCAGGGTGATGCCTACAGTGAGTTACTCATGAACAACAAATTAATTCATAAACTATTTCCTGTAAATTGAGGCAATTATAATTTACCATCAGACATACTGATAACAGAACAACAACAAAAAAAAACCCACTACACATCCCTTATCAGCTAAAGCACCGATAAAACAAGAGGATTGATACAAGTCAGGTCACTTATCACTGGTTGGTTATAGGGCATGCACAGTAACATGAAATTGTTACATCAACAGGTTACTAAGAATGACAGGCCAGTAATTTCAGTACTTCAAGGGTTTTTTTTTCTTAACTTACTATGGAGAAGTATGATGAACTTGGACAAAGCAAAGAACAAAATAAATCCAAGCATAAAAGAAAGAAGAGTATATTTACTCCAGCATGTCACAGAATGATTAGCTATTTTATAATCACAGCTATCACCTCCACAGATATCCACACATGACATCTCTGGCAAACCTGTTAATTCTGCTTTGACATAAAAATGAGATTATACAATTTCTGATGCCAAAAAATTAAGAGGTCAAGCAGTCTCCCTGCTGCCACATTAATTGAAAACAACAGCAAGCTCAACTTCACTGCACACAGGTCAGCTCATGTGGGCATTAACCTAGTGCTTACACATAACTATCCCAAGTTTCAAATACTAGGTAGTATTTACTGATAATATTCAGGATTCAGGTCCAGCTAATAGGAGTGCTCTTGTCCACATTTAAAAGGACAAAGTAACATCCTATCAAAAATACAAAGAGGAGGCAGATGTTTATTTCTTCCCAAGGGAAGAATAAATACAACACTACAAGTTTATGGTAACCTGAAATCTAAGGAAGAAAACTTAAGCTCCTTTTGGGGAATGGAACCTGTCTCAATACACATATAACACACCAGGCACATCAAGAGAAATGGAGCCACTTAAGTGAAAACAATTTAGGAGGGAATAAGTTTTATTAAGTCACCAACAGAAGAATGTATGGACACAGGTATTTTAGAAAGCCTCCTTTAATCTTAAAATATTTCTAATGAATCAGTAAATGAAAATTATCTAGTGGAAATGAGGACAAATAATTGGGAAAAACAGTTAAATGTAGTCACAAATACATTGTTTTTTCTCATCAGATTTGCTTCAGCTGAGCTCCATCACTGGGTGCCCACCAGCAAGTCTTTCAGTAGCCCTAAGGGCAACAGTCTGTCCATCTGCAAAGCAGAAGTGAGTCTGTCCCAAAGTACACTATAAGTAAGTGAAAGTCTCTGTGCAGCTGACAGAACCTTGTGACTGCAACTATCAGAGAGCACAGCAAACTTATTCCATATGCTTTCCAACAAATTTCACTAATACGTTTCTTCGCTAATAGCTAAAACATGCTGTAATAAGGATTAAAATTAGCATTCCCAATAAAAAGTTAATGCAATACATTAAGAATACCAACCCTAAAATGTGGCTTTTATACAGGATGAAACAGTTCTACAGAGGAGACTTCAGTGATTTCCTCTTGCACTGAGCAGTCACACAGTAACAAGCATACATCCTCTTTAGGTCTGAATTTGCACACAAAAAAAATCAGTGCTGCATGAAATAAGACCGGAGCTAAAGTTAAATGAACGTCAAGGTTTAATCTCACAAACACATTACAGATAGAAATGTGAAAATCTAACTGGAGAGTAGGTCCCCCCTGTTCCTTAAAACAGCCTTTTCTGCACACATGGAAGTGCTTTCTGACTGTCATACTGCATACCTATGTTGGACACCATGCAGATATCCAACAAAAACCTACCATTTCTGTTTTACATTACAGTATGTTGATACTGGCAACAGAAAAATCAAGGTTAAGAGTTAGTTTTAAATGCCTTTTTCCTTTAAACTGTTCACAACTGTTTCTAAAGGTAAAATTTTTAACTCCTGTCCTCTGTTAAAACTGAGTTTTAGTTGAAACAAAAATAATTCTATTCTTTTTGGGTGAGTTGTTTATGAAGTTACTTTTATCATATTTTTTTTCTTGGATGCAGATTTGTTGTTCAGTATTATCTGAAGCAACATGCACATATGGGGTTCCTTTCTGGAAAAACAGTTTATGTCTTGAGTATGAAAAACACATTTTGAGTGTTCCAAACATAAGCAGTAAATGTTTAGCGTGCAATACCATTCACATACAACATGTAATAACCTCATTTCTGTCGTGTAGTTACAAATGCAAGTCTACAGCTGTACAGTTGTCTTCACTGCTTCTTTCAATCAAGTCGGAAATTCCTAAGTATAGTATTTTTTTTTTTCTTTTAAAAAAGTCTACTTTTTAACTCCCTCGGTGGTTTCAGCAAAGGTTAAGGACAATCAATTCTTTCTAAGCTCTCTCCTGGAGTTTTTGTCTGTTACCTCATTTCCTGACTCCTATGAAGCAACATGAGGCAAGACTTTGGTGAAAACTATCACTGTAGCATTTACATTTCAGTTCCTCAAAAACAGTAATGAACTCTATGACATACGAGTTCATCCACCACGCTCTTTTCTTCAGGTATTCACACAACGGAGAAGGATTTAAAAAAATATTACTGGAGAGTTTTTCACTCTCCCTAAGCAACCATCCCTTCTTTCCTTTCTTTCACACTTCCCACTAACATATTTCACTAGACACTCCAACTTTCAGACACTGTCAGGGTCTTCTTAGCCTTGATGTGGTCATCTCTGCTAGCTCTGTCAAGCACCTCTCTTCCACACTCATTCAAACCACAGCATAACACACAGCATCACATCTTAAACTAAAAATAAAATATAGTTTTCCTTAGCTTCATCATTAAAGCAGACTTATAGATTAATTCAATGAAGAACCAGATCTCTGTTAAAGTTCAGATTATATTTACTCTCAAGGACTACACATCATTTGATATTTAAAAGCCACACAAAACAATTTTACTACTATAACATAAAAACTTACCCACTTGGCAATTGGACACCCCTGAGAGCTTTTTCCTTCCTTTCCTGTATAAACCACTACCTCTATTCTCACAGCACTTCCTTTTGCTCCATACCTGCATTAAAAAAGGTCATGAGTAAAACTGATGTAACATTTTAAAACAGGAAACAATTTCAATAAAACAGGAACAACTTTATTTTTATTTTACTGAGAACAGAAGGAAAATGAAATATGTATAGTGTCAAAAATATTTAAATTTAAACTCCTATTTGCAAGAACACTTTTTTTGACATGTCTCTTCTGATAACAAGCTTCTGCCCCTCAGGAAACATCCTTTGGGGAAGGAAATGTTAACTGCATGTAAATCCTAGTGCATTTAAACACTAGTATGAAAACATGACTTCTCTGTCCAGTTTGCCACAGCTTCTTCACAGGCAGGACACTAATTCT